TGGACACACAGTATGCGTAACTTTAGAAAAATCGACCCCGATCCCAAAAAATAAATGCTGCAATATGCCGGAGGGGGAAACGTCGCTGATGTGAATGCTTGTATTGACAGGATACGGGTTTGCAAAAAAATATTGACGTCCGAAATAATTGCGCGACAAAAACAGTCCCAGTGTGAAAGGACCTTTTAACTGCTCCTTTGAGGAAGTTACTCTGAGTTAAGACTATGATACAAATACTGCACTACTTTTCTAGTATTTCCATGTCTGACATTTGTGAAGGTGCAACCTGATTTAGCTGAACCATTGCTACTTGTTTGCAAGAACTTCAAAAACAACTACACAGAAACTTTGTCATGTTTTTCTAGGCGGCTGGCGCAACCCAGTCCAGATTCAGAGGAGCTGTTTTGTTTCTAACTGTGCCCTGAGACGTCCTTGTGGTTAAAGTGGCAGTGGTTTTGGGGGGTGTGGGTATTATTATATCACAGAAAAACAAAATCTCCCGGCTCTTCGTCACAACCAATAGTTAAAAACTTGAAACTGTAATCCCCTGTGGTTTTGACCTAAACCCTCTGAAATCGCACAAATAGCAGAGACGGGTCTAAATAAAGTTTCTGCTTCTGTAAATGTGACCTAATGCATCGCTTCTGTTCATATGACGTAGGCTTTTGAACAAACTGTGACACAAACAAGCTGCAGGGAAATATTCAGGGCCATTCACTTCTTCTAAGTCCTCTGGTGGAGAGAAAACATCCCGTCAGTCAAGTGAGAAACCACACCCAGAGGCTGCATGAGAGACATGCCGCAGAGCCAAGCAGCAGAGTGACTGAGGCTCTCTCAGGCCAAAGGTTACATCCTGATATCTGCGATGTTATTAAAGTTTGACGGCTTATCAGCTCAAGACACCAATTACAAAGTTAACTACACCTACAGAAAGTTCAAACTGCAGTCTCTCTTTCCTCCTCACGCTCGGTGACCTGATTTCTCCCCTTCATAATTAAAACACTGATTGTAACTGAGCTAAATTACTAATCAAGTCCTTGAGCGTCACTTGTCCTCACTGACACCAGTGAACAAAAGCTATTAATCCACACAGGGGACATGGGGAGTAACTAGTCCTGTCTGACTGGCTCATTTGGCCTACTTTCCTCCTCGGATCGAGCTCTTGTGCGAACTAAGACAACTGTGCTATGATTATCTAAAGATGGAATAAAGAGCAGTTTGACTGTCTGCCCAGTGGGATTCATCTTGTGACACAGTGGGGCGGCGTCTGGAGGCCTGTTTAGACAACTCTAACACTCTCTCTTTTATCCTTTATCTCTACTGCTCTCTATCTCTTTTCTACCTTTCTGTTTGTCCTTGGTGATATTCATCTCCATTCGGCCTCCATCAGAATCGTGATCAGGAATACCAAAAGAAGAGCGACTCGAAAAACAAGAAAAGTGAGTCTCATTCTCGCGTAAAGGGCAACTGCAAGGCCAAGAAAGACACAAAAGAACATGAAAATACCATTTTTAGTCCTAGCGCAACTTTCTCCGATGTTCAATCTCCCCCCTCAGTTCAGGCTAAAGACATGTCCAGACATTACAGATGGAGGAATGAAAGGAATGGGAGGAATTCCGGGGCATTCCCATCTCGGCACAGTTAGCTCAGAGTGAGAAGGCCACTCCCTGATTTACAGAGAGCTGAATGGAGGAACTGATGGATGATCAGTGCCTACTTGGTGCTGTAGATATGCACAATAAAGATGGAAATCTCACCATCAAGGCGGGAAAACAACTAAATAATACTTTCTTCAGGGCAACACAAGAAAAGAAGATGACCAGATATCATAGTTCAAAGTGCAGTGTGGTCAAAGAATACGATAAGGTTGCATGGACAGAGAGATACCTTCTCACCATGCGGTTCTCTGCAGGAACTTGGTGCAACAGAGGAGATGAGTGATGCCTCCGCTGCCTGTGTCTGGACAAAGTCTTTGAGTTGGAATGCTGCAAGAATCCAAACGAGTGTGTTCCTGTGTAGGTTAACTGCAGTTTGTGTGTGTTAAAGTTTGTTTGTGTGTGTGTGAGAGAGAGAAAGAGCAGAAAAACAAAGCTCATTCAGGCTTCTTTGAGATGACAAACAAGCAGGGAATGTGTTTTATGGTCTTCCTAAAAGAAATCACGGTGTAAAATGGCTGCAAGCAAGCACTGCCACATGCATTTATGTTGAATTTGGAGCGTCACAAAGAAGAGGAAAAAACGGAGTAAATATCATTTCAAAAAGCATGCTGTCTTGGACAGATACAGTACATAACAGGCACGTCTGAAAATAGATGGCAAAAAACCACACTCTCAAATGCAACAGAGCCTCCAAAATAGCATGATGACGCTAGGAGAGAAGGAGAGGTCTGTAATTCAGCTAGGAGTCTATATAGTGATTAAGTCCCATGTAAAAAATGCAAACACACACCACCCACTCTCACTGGCTCTGTCGCAACACTTCCTGTCAGTGCGACTGCTTCCAACAGCCAAAAAGAAAAACACCCAAAGATCTCGCATGCAAACAACACCTGTCCGTTAATCAGTCAGGAATCAATATTTAGTTTACTGTAAGTGAGGAAATGAAATATTTATTGAAGGCTGTAAATGCCGCCTCTACAACCGTCCTCACACCACAGAGATTTGCAGAAGTGTAATCAAACTTCCCGTCATCACGAGGAAAGAAAATATATGTTTGTGGCAACTTGAGAAAAAGCTGATCAAACATACCGACACTCTTCTCTCTTACAGTCACCGCTCCGGCAGTGACTCAACTCCCATAGGTCACGAGGCCACCCTGAGCAGCCATACCACATCCCAACCCCCCCTTAACCATGGCAACCACATCACATGACCATCTCCCATGACCAGCAAACCACTGACAAGCCGGGGCCATCTGCAAACCTGAACGCCGCTGATTTCCTGCTGCGCTGCAACTGGAACCAATAGATTTAAAAATAACCCAATTAAATTCCACTTAACGCCGCTGTGCGAGTATGCAAAAATGCAGCTGCAACAAAAGTGAGACTCAGTAACCAAGAGGCTTAAACCACTTGAACTCAGGACCACACAGAGAGTTCACCGGAGCTATGTGCAAAGAAATCTAAAAAGAAGGAAGTGAAACGTTCACCTACTTACTCCCTAGAAAGAGAAAGATAAAAAGAAACAGGAACCTTACAGGCCCCTTTCTCTCCAAAGGGCAAATTCTTCTGCTATCAGATGTTTACACCACAGCAAGTGACTGAAAGAGTGCAGCAGTCAAAGACAGGGGGTGTACATTTACAGTATCTAGGGCATAGCTGTAATAACTGCTTTCTTACCCTCTCATCTGCTACAGGTTCAACTCCAATATTTGAAGGTGAGGAGTTTCAGTCGTGCAATTTGTATTCGAGGCTTTAGAGAAAGCGTGCTATTAACCTTGACTTCACATAGACAGCATAGCTTAACTAGCCGCAGCTTGTTTGTGAAGGTAAAGAAGATCCGAGACTTTCTATCAACAGGCACACAAAACACTTCTGCAAAGAACACTCAAGGCAAATATCGAGCTGTAAAGCTGTCGTTTCGGCTTACGGGAGCGAGTTTGGTTTTGTACTCACGTGGAAACACAATATACACAACATTGAAAGGTGTGTGTGTAACCATAAAGGTCAGGGTTTTCTTTTACGGTGTAAGAACAAAGTCAAAAAGAGGTGTCGTGATGCAGGAAGATGAAAGATTGCTGCACAAATAAGATCTGGAAATGGAAGCAACTTCTTCATATACGATGGATTAAGGCAATGGACATCACTGTGCAACCCACCTGTTGGATGTAGTATTCAAGCTGAATTGCCCCCCACTACAAGCCCGCCCCCTGACCTCCCCACACCCCTTCAGTCACATGGTGTGAACACAGCCAAAGATTACATATGATACTATTGCTAACATTAGCTAACAGTGCAGATACCCAGGCCTCCACCGTCACACCAAGCAGAATGAGCCCGTGTGGAACAGTGACAGGCAGACACATATGCTCACACTCATAAGACACATATAGTACATTCCATATCACAACACACACAAGCTACAGCTTGAAGAGCAGCACACATCCACTCTCAGAGAGACTCTATGAGACGCCTGTCTTGTGTTTGTTTACTCTCTCCCCCTGAAGCCACAGAGCGGCCGACCAGCAAGCCAGCCAGCCAGCCAGCCGGGGCTCAGTAATCCCTGTAGGTAAACAGAAGCATAGCAGGGCCTGCTCAGTCATACAGGCCTCTCCACATCACACCACTACACCTACACACGCTTCACCCAGGCTGAAGCTCTGAGCTCAAACACTACTACACCCACACAGCTAAAAGAGACGTTTTTCTCCGGAGCTGCAGAGCCTTGCCTTGTCTATTAATGCATGTGAGGATGAAGCACTGATGGATGCGCTTTCATCTAGATCTCATGCTGTTTGTTGGATACAATGGAGGTTCAACAGAGAGGCAGGAGCGACAGGTCTCATCAGGCACTTTACAATTACCTGTACAAGGATCCCCACTGTTTAGGGGAAGACTTCATTGAAAACATGCATGGGATACCGGCGTCATGTAAGCACAATAATAAGCTGACAATAAGAGAGTCACTCATCCTTTTTAAACAAGTCACATCATGCGTCCTAACTAGTATGTGTGCTTGTCACTAGAGTGAAATCACAATGAGAGTGGTGTGTTTCAAAAAGACAAACAGGTCTCTCTGTGTGTCGACATAAATCTTATCTTCAGCTGCCAAACACCTCCTGCAAGTTTGGGTTTTTACAGAAGTCACTGTAAATTACTCAAACAACCCGGCATTTACTGTCTGAACCATTACATTACTCTGGATATTTGCCAGTTTGTATCTTCCTGGAAGTACTGAGCTAATACTTAAGCAATGACAAGTCGTTGTCCAAACTGCCAACAACATTAACTCGCATTATTGCTGCCGATAAAATGATGTCAAAAAAAAGGAAACACAGCCTGCTTTTGTTTTTTTAAAAATTCAATTTGTATTAAAAGTCTTATTTTTAAAACAGACAGCCCACTGTTAAACGGCTGATCTGAAATTCAACTTACAATCAGGTTAAATTTGTCAACGGTACATCATCACATTTCCTGTTAAAAACAACAAAATAAACATGAACAGAACTTGATTTAAGGTGGACTGGAAAGTAAGCGTTTGGTGGTGTTGTTGTCACGTCTTTAGGGGATTCCAGTACCTGTGCATTTCAAGATAAAAGTTTGGCCTCAGACTAAGCAGACAATGCAAAATGAACAACTTAGACTTTAAAAAGGCCAACGTAAAACATACAGAAAACCGCCACTCCTTGAATTAAAATCCTATCATAGTTTCTGTTTTTCAGCCTCCACCCCACAATCCAGACGTTTAGTTCACTCAATTTCGGATTGCCGTGACGAAGGGTTCTTTTGGTGATATACGTTAGTTGGCACTAAATCTGAACAGCTGATTTTGTTTTCGGAAAGGCACTCGACACAAGGGATATATGGTCACCGTCCCCGTGTCACTTCAGTTAAGGTCCTCTCGCACACTGAAGAGGTGATGACAAAAAAAGTGGCACTCGTCACATTTACTCCACCAGCAGAAAAGCAGGGTCAATTACTGTTGACTTTTGACATGAAAAAAAAAAAAAGGATTTGGAGTGTTGAGGAGAATTTCTCCATGATGGGTCAGGCAGAGACATCACTCCAGTCTATACCCGCCCCACACTGTGCAGTTATTAACAAAATATACTCTCTCTGTCTTCTTCTTATACAGAAATATCCATTTATGAGTGTCTCTTAAGTGTTGCCCTCCATATCATTTCCACTGGAGTTTGGCTCCAGTTGTGAGTACAGTTGGAACAGGTGAGAGGGGTGTCGCTGAAACTCTCAGTCACTGTGTTGGCATCAATGACAGACACTGATCGTGCAGCAAAGATACTCCAACCCAGCAGAAATCCTGAAGAGTGGACCCCTCCCTCTGTCTCTGTGGCTCCCCTCCTCCTCCTCTCTTCCCCCTGCTGCATTCCTCCCTGTATTTTTCTCCAAGGCCAGGGTGAGACATGAAGAAGAGCTCAACAGTGCACACTTGCTGCAACACACTGCCACAAACAAAAGATAAAAAGAGGCATGAATGAGCTACAATTGCAGACAAGACAGAGAAAAAAACAAACCTTCAGTGCTAATTTTGAACCCGGCTCGAGAAAAAAACAACTTGCTGATCTTTGAAAGTAGGCCAAGCAAGAACATTGGAATCTCCCGACTCCTGTTAACCTCATTCTGGAAAATACCATTTGAGCAGTTAGCTTGAATTACTCAAGACTGTACGCGTACAGTATACAAGCTCTAACTTTGTAAAGCCAGTGAACTCAGCCGTAGCTTGCCCCTCCAGTTCTGCAAATGAGTCAGACACTTCCCCAATCTGCTTAGTGAGGACAATAGATTTCAAGTTCCCTTCTGTCAGGGGCGTGTTCAGACCTCTTTGAGTAGGGTGGCCAAACTCAATACGTTTACATGCACAGTTAAGCTGAACTATAGTTACCTCTCAACAAGGCACTTCCACTAGACTACGATCTAAAGGATGTTAACTAAAGGATGTCTGTCTAAACTACGACAGATTGCTGAAAGCCAATTTCAGCGAGTGTCTACCAAAGCTCCTCTCAGTTGTGCTATTCCATCGTATATCAAAACTATCAAGTAAAAACACCATAGTGAGAGGTTAACAGGTTATACGTCAACGGGTAAAGCATGAACAGCTCCACAGCTCTCACATTTTGTATGAGCGACATTAGCTTTTGTAATTCTACTCTACTTTTTCTTCTTTTACTGAGGTTTTCGTGAATTTGTGCTGGTCGGTTTCAGATTTAAAGCCCAGCATGCTAACTTTGGAGCATGCACGGATTACTTGGGCTGGGTTTGGTAACATGTGACAGAAAAATTGATCGTCAATGCATAATCAAGAAATTTGGCGTAGTGAGATTTCAATCAGAATAATTTACTTTTTAACATAATGTAAACATACTGACAGACTTCAGCAGGGGTAGCAAGTCTCCAGACCATTGAACTTGTTAACCGTTGAGTGGTTGTACAAAAATCTCATAATCGAGACATCTAGGCGACAAAAAAAGGATGTGCAGTGCCAAAATTGAGGAACTCATGCTTACTGGATGTAGAAACAGCATATCGTTAGCTACAATAAATTTATCAGATAGTGAGATAGTGAGTTTAAGTTAGCTGAGATTTTTTGATTGATTAAATCCCGTTCTTTGCACGTGAAATAGTTGTGCAAATTATTTTTCTACAGTGTTGTTTTCGTTGACGGTGACCAAAATATTTCATCAACGAAAACGCTGCAGAAAATATGTCTAGCGTTTGACTGACGAAATGCTCATTAATTGTGCAACTCTGTGCGTCATCCATCACTCACATTTTCGTCTAGTCAACATAAACGCACATTCATCTTGTCACATTTTAGTCATCTAAGACTTATGTTTAGCTCATTAACGTCACGTCTTTGTCGTGGACAAAAAGGGGAGCAAAAACAACCAGTGATGTTTTCGTTGACGATGACATTAACGAAATATTTTCCTCAACGTCATTGTCAAGGAAAACAACACTGTTTCTATGTTTTAAATTTAGGTAGTTGATTTCACCAAAAGTTCCCTCCTCTGACCATCCAAATAGCCGATTACAAGTTACGATTTTGAGGTTGAAACTCAAGGTGGCCAATCCTATTCAAACGGGGCCTGTGCCACCCCAGGCAACCCTAAACACGCCCCTGTTCACTGCATTCTTAAGATAAAAAAAACAAGATTTAAGAAAGAGAGCTGGCCTATATCAAAAACAAATCAAATACTATGATAGTGTACTCTCAAAAGACTATATTAACAAGTTTATGACAGTTTATGTGTAACTTTTTGAGCTGTATCTAATGACAGCTCAATGTTATCAATGTAAAGTGTCTCAACTTACCATTGCAAACTTAAAACCGAGCAAGGATTAAAACTTAAAGGTTTTCCTGTTTCTTAAAGAATGACACAAGACGAACAGCACTGGTCGTCGCCATTTGGTGTTGAGGCATAGTTCATCTGTCGGACTATTTCTGCAAACAGTTCGTCCACCGAGGTTTTATTTTTGGCTGAAGTTTCCATGAACGGGCAGTTCCAGTCGTCCGCCAGTGCCTTCCCCTCCCCGGACGAGACCTCCCTTTCCCCCTCCAGGTCCACTTTGTTTCCCACCAGAATCATCGGCACTCTCTCGTACCTTTTCACCCGAATGATCTGATCCCTCATTGGTTTGATATCCTGAAAGCTTTGCTGGTTTACCAGGCTGTAGACTAGGATGAAACCCTGCCCGTTTTTGATGTAGAGGTCTCGCATGGAGGCGAACTGCTCCGTCCCCGCCGTGTCCAGGATCTCCAGGACGGACGGAGAGGAGTCCACTTCGATCTCCTTCCTGTAGAAATCCTCTATCGTAGGGTCGTATTTCTCTATGAAAGAACCCGTCACGAACTGGACGGTTAACGCGGATTTACCGACCCCTCCGGACCCGAGAACCACTACTTTGTACTCTCTCATGGTTCCCAAAAACAGCCGACACTCCTGCTTCCTCTCCGCTGTGAGCTCGCAAGCCGCCCTGCTGGGTTTCCAAACGCTCACCGTTGTGCCTCCGCCAGCTATTTAGTACGGGGCTCAGGTCGGTGGATACGGGGCGTGGCCGTTAGTTATCGCCGTTCAAAAGGTAAACACGGTTGTTTCCGACCCACGCTCAACATTTGTATTGTGGCATGCTGAGCCCTTAAAAACAGCCCAGCCGGTTCTTAGGCAAGCTTCCCCCGTTTTCGTTCAAGTAGCCACTGTGCGCCCGTTGCTCTCTTTGAAAGTCTGAAGCGATCTGCCGTTAGAGTCAACTACTTCCTGGAGAGGTTTTCAAAATAAGAGCGGTGCGGGCTAACCTACGCCACAATGTCAATCTTTTAGCGAATTAATTCAACACAATTATTCATCTCTTTGATACAAACTGCTGTTTATATGTGTATCGTTATCGAGATGTTAATTTTCTTTTTGTTATTTCACCCTCATAAAAGTGCATTTATGTATTTCCGTTACAGTCCTTTCTCGCTGGATCTAACTTGACGCCGTTCGCCCTCTGCGTTTCCTGCCCACACTCAGCACGCAGCCTGCGTCCCACGTCACTCAATAAATAGTCATCGGCGCTGAGTTAAAGGTGCAGTGCGGCGATTATCGCACAGTCAGCGCGGCTGCCGCGTTCAGTACTCACACAGACCTGCCACACCTTAGTTTCGACATTACTTATCCATGGGCTTACTACTGCTTGAGTCATCTTCTTAAAACTTACGGGAAAAGGCACAGCTACACTCAGCTCATTGCTTAACAAAACACACCAGCAGGAGATTTTTTATCAACATGTGAAACTTTTGATTTTTGCACTCAACAAGACAAAATGGCCATCTTCAGTTACCTTTCTTACCTTTCAATCAATCACTTTTAGAGGACCGAAACTATGGAATGATCCGGATGCATCTCTAAAATCAATATTATCCTTCAAATCCTTTAAAATATCATTAAAATCTCATCTAATCATGTCTTAGAAACGTCCTTATCTGTTCTTTTCTTTATATGTATACTTATAGTCTCTCTATCTCTGGTTGGGCTGGTTAATGATTAGTCTATGTTCTATTTATGACAATTTGTATATGTTTTGTCCTTTCCCCTTTCACTGTGTATTTATAACCAGTCTATATCATAATTACTTTGTTGTTTGCACCCTATGCCTTGACGGTAATGGAACTCTGGCCTATCAGCTTCATTCCCTCCTTGCACTGTTTTTAACTCACATTTTTCTTCCATTCACACATCAAAAAAGTTAAGTAAAATAAAATGTTAAAAATAAGAAACAAAAAAGTCAAATAAAAACTGAAGAAGAATGCCTCCAAATCTAGAGAGACCCTATAAAATAAGGATTTTAGCTTTTATCTGATTAATGGTGGTTTTCCCCTGTTATTCAAATATCTCAACACACCGGAATAACATAACAAGAGCAGTGAAGAGGAAGTGACTCATCACATCACTGATCCTGTGAAGCACATATGACACATTACTGCTTCTGTCTTGCATGTCCTGACACTCCCATGCTTATTTTGTCTCTGATGCAATCCAGTATCAGCTCAATCTTACCGTCCTTGTTTACTGATTTGCACCATTGAACCTCTTTTTAAAGTCAGATCAATATCTAAACCACTCACATACCAAAGAGACGCAGTTTCTTAGCTCTTTCTAGAACATATTGTAAACATGGATATCATTCAAGATTGTAAAAGGGAATCCGCACTTGGGGTTTAGGCTAAAATCTAATCCTTATGAAAGCCACATGATGAGTTATGAAATCAATTATTTAAGTCATCATATTTCTCTGTTTGTGTGTGTATAAGCTTATCATTATATCCTCTGGCAATTTCTGAAATAACCCTACTTTCCAATCATCAACCCCGTCAGCACAGCGCAGTGATGATTAAACCAAAGCCGTGACCTCATCACCTCAAGGGACTGATGGGAAATCTCCATCCGATCAATAGAACTTGAATTCGACCACAAATCTCAGCCAGCAAAACAACACACGCGTGTACCGTGTGGTCAGACCGGAGAATAAGGAAGTAAATCTGTGAGTCAGTGTGCGTCAGTGTGAGTGTTGACGGCTCAGAGAATATGTCACACTGCTCACAGAAAAACCCTTAACATGACACACATGCAAATACAGAGACAACAATGAGAGATTTTGCCAGAGGTTCAGTGTGAAGTGACAGCAGGTAAAACATGTGGATTGGCCCGTCATGTGGGCTTTCAAAGAGCCCTGCAGCCAGCTCCTCCCTAAATCCCATTAAGAAACGAGTCAAAAGAAACCTAGATGAAGACAATCAGTACTGTGCCCCATGGGGAGTGGGAGGTAATGTGACCTAAAGCCCTGTGATGTGGATTGTCACATCTATGAGAGTGATTAGGCTCAATGTAAAACAGGGCTTCTTGTCAGAGACGAGCAGGGCTTGTTTTCACACACTGCTGTTAATTAGATAGACAAGGCCACATGTTCAATTGTATGAGTAACCCTTCAGGTGAAGTCTCAGCAACTAGGTAGCAAATAGAAATGTGGTTTGTGCCTTTTTATGCAGTTGTCATGGTGTGCTTGTCTTACAAAGAGCCTCTCTCTGCACCCAGGTCACATAAACCAAAATAAGTAGCATCTGTGAGGACATATTCCTCCTTCAAGCTGTTTGAATTTCTTTTTGTTTACACTTTCCCTCCACTGCAGTTTGGCACAGACTCTCAAACTAAAATGTAACTTAATATTATAACTCCTGGAAAAGTATTCAACACATTTGACAAACTCTGTTTACAGATACCTCATTTAAACTTATATGTTACTCTTAAGCATGGATTGAGAAGTGTATGGAGAAGCTCCTTGTCTCACTGAAAGGAGTTTCTCAGATAAGCACTTTTTTAAATTTGTATGTATTTCTTTTAATTTAAAGCTCCTGTGAGGAACTTTCAGTTTGTGTCAATTTTTGCGCCCCCCTGTGGACGAAGCAATAATTTTAGATTGTCCTCTACATATATAAGTAGTATTTTTTTGCAAACAAAATCAAATCCTGCTGGTTTTTGACCGTTATAAGAACTGTTTTTGTGACTATTTAAGTAGAAAAGGTGAAAATGCGACTGTAAAAAATGATCTATCATGTCGCTGTTGATCTCGTTTGCTTTTGTTTATCAAAAGAAAAACCAGTATGTGTTTCAGTCCTCTTCATAAATGTCAAAAGACTCCTCACATGAGCTTTAAGTTTGTCTTGACTCATGCATTTAATACTTGTTTGCAAATTCAGGTCAGCCAAACAAAGTTGTGAGCATCGCATAACTTAATATAGGGTTAAAAATTAATGTGGTGAGCTTGTAAGAAGACAACTGCCTTTCAGCTGTCCAAGCACATTAGGAACAACATAGGCGGTTATATGGAGTCATATATTAAACCTTGTAAAGGATGTTATTCAGACCCATTAAAATGTTTAATGTACAGGTTCTGCATTAAAAGTCTGAACTTGTAGGCACAGGACCCAGTTTGGTCTGAGTCTTGAGTGTGATGACTAATCGCTTGTCAGCAAGTTTTGACTGTATGCGGTAAAGCATGTTCTTATGTAGGGAGCTAGAATACACACTTTTACAATCTTGTTTCTTCTGCAACTGCAGTTAAAAATCTACTTTTCGATGGTCAGAGTACAAGTCAAGTTGCTAGCCAGACGATAAGCGATCACAGTTCATAAAATCAGAGCCTTGGCCAGACATCATTGTGCCCCAACTACTGGCAAACTTTTGGTGAAGGCTCCAAAAGTTTGTTGCTTTTAGAGGTTATGCCATAGTAATTTGATAGACCTCATAGCTCTATGTCTAACTCTGTGTTTGGTGTCCACCAACTTTTTGACGGGATATTTTGCTTTATTTGCTGCAAATAGTGTTTTGGGGAGATTGTTTTATAATATCTTTGCCTGCTAAGTTTGAAAGTGATAGTAACAAGTGAAGACAGAACCACATATTGAGGTTTCAGGGCTGAAAATATATCAAGTAAGAAGCATCCCCGAATTTTTATTTTACAGTTATGACAAAAATAGGTTATTGCTGCTGTAATGTTGACGTAAAGTTTCGTCAGGGTCTCAAATAAACAACTTAAACTTATTTCTTTATTTCTAAGCAATATGTTGAAGGAGAAACTGGTCACTCAAACAATATAAAGCCACTGAGACATTCTTAATCCACAGATCTTTGCATGTTTTGACTTCTTATAACCTCTATCAAGAGGCCTGGGCTCATTGCTCTTTACTTGACACCACTTTCATCTTATATCATCCTCTTGCTGCTCTAATTGAAACAGCCTGAAATAGCCTGAGGACGGCCCCTGTGTGACCCACTCAATTTAAGGTGAAATCCTACAACAACACCAGAAGATGTACAGCGACAGGTCTTTTAAGCTCTCTTCTCGCCCTGTGAGAGTGACAGTAGACTAATTAAAATGTCTGAGACCGCTGAGCTAATTAATGACTGAGATAAGTCTCCTCCAGTGTTTTCATCCCACAGGGACTGGGAGGCCTTTCAAAAAACATGTTTCAGGCTGTAATTTCAAAGAGAAAAAGACTTGTGGTAAAACTGTATCACTTAGTTTGGATGTTTATAACCTCCTGACCCGAAATTAATTACTCCCTTTTCATAGCTTGTATTTCTCACCATCCTCCGTGGCGATGTGTGAGTCCTGATTTATGAATTATTCAAATGGTTTGAGATGCCCATTCATCATTTTTTCAATAGCTGCACAGCCCAGTGTAAATAAAGAGCCATGCAAAGCCAACTTGTGATTAAACTTCACAGCTTTAAAGCTATAATTGTGGGCAGAAAGTGGTAGCTGCTGTGATTCAATTTAAAAGTGTTACTCGTTTAACATATCATCTATAATAAAGGAAGAGTATGTTTATGTTTAAAACATCTTATCCTTTATCTGTACTGAGAAAAAGTCTCATCACACATGCTTGTCTGTTACCTTAGTTTCAGAATGAAATCTTAATTGATGATATTTTTAATGAGGAATTATTAAGACAAAAACCAGGAATGACTCAGTGTTGTAATCTGTTAAATATACTATTTCTTTTGCTTAAATTTCAGGTTTTATTTCAGGCATTGCAGACCTGAAATATTGAGATGAAGGTGCAGTTTGAAAGAATGTCTTTCCAGGAGGGCATTCAAAGTGCTGCACTTAAGTTGTCCACAGAATATCAAATAAATGGGCTTGACATGGAGTGCATCTGAAAAATGAACTTCTGTTCAATCTGTTGAAGTATGCTGCCACTCTCCACAAGGACAAGTAGTCCTGAAATGTTAGACCTGCAAAAGTCTACAAAATTAACCCAAAACTTACTATATCTATTCACAATAACACACAGAGCGGTTTCCTGTATTTATTTATTTATTTTTGTGAATAACTTTTTAGCCATGATTAAACTTAAGGTTTCAGGAGGGCACACTCGTTAAAATAAATCATGGCATAGTTTTTTTTT